TTCAGGAGACAGGAAGCGATGGCACGACCATTCCAATCCAGGCATCTGAGTCAAAGGCTTCTGTGTCAGAGCCAGCAGGTGGCGTGGTGGCAAAGGCACTGGACTCCCATGTGGCCGACTGCAGTTTGAGTCCCAGACCTGATGGCTTGCTTTCGCACTTTTTCTCTCTCTCTCTGTTTCTGTCTCTCTCTGGTGAGTGCACATGCCCTACAGCACACTTAATAATAATAATAATAATAATAAATTAAATACATAATTGTTTGAGGCTTTAAAAAGAGAAAAAGGCTTGTTTCTTCAACCTGCCCGTCCTGTTGTTGGCTGGCTTAAAGTAGTCACTCAAAGGACCAGCACGTGGCATTATGGTTACGTTGCTGGACTCTCACGTAGTTGACCATGGTTCGAGTCCCGGACCTGGCGACTTAAAACTCACGCCGGGCGCGTGTGCATGCGTGCCCAAGATCCCGAGAGGAGAATGGAAGAGAAGGGATTGTGGCATGGCCATCCCCCCCAGGGGGTGATTTCTCTCGGGTGCTTTCTCTCTCTCTCTCTCTCTCTGTCTCTCCAGCACACACATCTACAGCAAACGTCTCTTAGAAAAAAATAGACACTCGAAATGATTTGTCAAGGTACAGAGAAAGGAAATGACACGAAAGCAGGTGGGAAAAGAACCAAGATGATTTCCGACCTCCCAGGTCCATGCCCAGATGAGCCGGGCTGCTGTCAACTGAGAGGATGTCCACAGCCTCGAGTAAGAAGAGGGTCCGAGTCTACACTGAACCTCCGTGTCTTCGTGAAGGACCGGAGTGCCTGCCTGCATGAGTGACTTGGTGACTATCTACTTTATGTAAAGGACAGTGCCCCCATCAGGAAACCCGTGACGGGGGTTGTGGGTTGGCTTGAGTCTGTCCACAGATAGATGTTGACGTGTAAACCCAGAACCCACTGGAACTCAAGACATGACAGGGTCAGTGTAGATGTCATGAATGAGAAGGCGGCCATAGTGGATTAGGGGACGTCCTATATCCAGTGGTAAATGACTTTTCAAGTGACAGCAGAGATGGGGCCAGCGAGGTGGCATGGTGATTCAGACACTGGATTCCCACATCATGGACCACAGTTCAAGTCCCAGACCTAGTAGTTTGAAAACCATGCCGGGTGTGGGTGCGTGTGTGCTCAAAATTCCAAGAGGAGAAGGAACTTCGGCGTGGCTGTTCCCCATGGGAAGTGATTTCTTAATTTCTGTTTCTCTGTCTCTCTCTAGTGAGCACCCAAATCCTATGGCAGAAACTAAAATACAAAAGAGAGAGAGACAGAAGAGGAGACACAGACACAGAGGAGAACTCATGTGAAGTTGCAGGCAAGAAAGCACACATCTCTGGAAAGCACATGTGCCCATGACAAGAATCTCTCTAAGACAAGCACACACGGCGGTCATCCAATCCTCCGGAGCACGCCCATTTGCATCTGGTGAGCTTTCAGGAAATCGTAAGCAATGGGGTGACGAGTCAATTCCGGGAATCTAAGTTAAAGGCCACATCTGACACAGCCACAAGCCAACAGATGCCTGGAGCTCCTGGGAGCTGGGAAGGGAGCAAGGAGCCTCCCCTGGGGTCCCCAGGAGCCAGGAAAGGAAGGAGGAGCCTTCCCAGGAGACCCTGGGAGCTGGGAGAGGAGGAAGGAGCCTCCCCTGGGAGCTGGGAGAGGAGGAAGGAGTCTCCCCTGAGAGTCGGGAGCTGGGAGAGGAGGAAGGAGTCTCCCCTGAGAGCCGGGAGCTGGGAGAGGAGGAAGGAGCCTCCCCTGGGAGCTGGGAGCTGGGAGAGGAGGAAGGGGCCTCCCCCGGGAGCTGGGAGAGGAGGAAGGAGCTTCCCCTGGGAGCTGGGAGCGGAGGAAGGAGCCTCCCCCGGGACCTGGGAG